TTTTTCGTTAATTCTTGTTGATAAAACAATAAACTTATTTCATTTCAGCTGTCTGCTATATTTAAATGGACACCCACTCAGAAGTCAGTTAGCTGTACTAAGTCGGCAACCAAATCTCAACGTGATACCCAAACGTACAATGAGCAACGATTTTCAAGCAGCTCTCGAACAAACAAATAGAGCAGCAATAGGAGCCTCATAAACTCCATAACAACGATCATAATCATTTCATCCTTCAGATATACGACGACCTCTTACATCTCGTATAACAATAAAGATGGAACATGTAACAAACTCATTAGAATCAGCACAGCAAAGAAGTGCATACATCAGGTTACTTTTTCTGCCAGAGATTTGTTTGACTACAAAATACGTTTCGTTTTCTTTTTTTGGCTGATGGCGCTACGACAACAGCAACCATGGAAACAACAGTTAGTTTTCACTCTCCTCTATCTGCAACTATTCAAATATTATTAGCCAAAATAGGTCTCACTCATGATTGCAAAAATTTGGAAGTATTAGAAGTGTCAAATTGAATCTTCAAGCAGGTATCGATATTTTACTTTACTTTTTAATTTTTTTATAATTTACGATTGATTCAGATATATTTTTGTTATTCTTTTTGTAATTTGTTTAGTTCTAATACAATAAATAAAATGAATGCATAATTTTTTTTATCAAACAGTTACAACAACGATGGTAAACTGATTGCATGTGTATGCGTTATATGTCAATCGCACATCATACAATTATTTCCCCTAATAATATTGTTGAAAATTCTTATATTTTCCACGCTGTCCTTTTCAACTCAATAACAAAATCATGTGACGGTCATACGGAGATTATGTTCTAACGCGCGTAACTCGGAATTATTTTTAAAATCCTAATAAAATTTCCTTTTTCAGCTTAATTTTTCGCTTTACCCATAATTAGTTTATTGTCAATTGTTGTGTCTCTCGTAAGAATGAGGTTTACCGAATTCAACCTTAATCGTCAAAATATCGGAACATAGCACCAAGTTGAATTATCAAGAACGCTAGGCGTCCCAACTTACGGCAATTCTCTAGGGATCTTATAGAAATCTTATAGACATCTTGTATAAGGCAGTCGATGGAAATGCGTAAGATATTGATAAGATTCCTATACGAAAGAATATAAAAATCTTATAAGATTCCGATAAGAATTCGGTAAGACAGATTATATAATTAGTTTAGAAGAATTCATAAGATAAGTTAACATACGAACTTTTACTTACGTCAATTAAAGAGTCTGACAGTCCGTTGTCACTTGCCTGATCGGGCAACATTGTCTGAACAGGCAACTTGCTCGTTCGAACTAGGTCCGATCTCGAAGTTCATCAGTCGTCTAATGGGGGAGAAGTATTCATTCTACTCCTGGTGCACTGATTATTCCCCGTATATTAAAGTTATGTGTTCAATCTCCTTTCTCTTTTATGACAGAGACGAATAGCACATATAGCCCAATTTTGTGCAATTTATCCTGCTCGATTTGGCAATATTGTCCGTTCGGGGTAAGGCACCTTGCCCGATCAGGCAAGGTAATCCTGAGGCAGATATAGTTGGTCAGTTTTCTGACTGTACAAGAAAGCACCGAATCCCCCAAGGAAAACTTTATTTGATGCAGTTTTTGCCGCTCTATCACATGGAATAAGTGTCTGCATAGCTTTGATTTATGCGCTAATCCGTTGAAAGAAAAAATGTGGAAATCTTGCCGAAACGGGTAAGATACTCCTTGCCCGATCGGACTATATTGCCTGTTCGGGCAATACATTTTTGCCGAAACAGGCAACCTTGCCCGATCGGCCCAGAAAACGTGAGAACGAATTCGCAACTGTCTGGCTACATGAACACTGAATGAGTAACCCTGCATCGTATGGGATCCTACGAAACACACGACATCGTTTTAGGGTCCTATGAATTCCTACATAATCTTATCGTAGGAACTCATGTGATTTCTATTAGGATGGTATCGTACTTCTTATAGGATTCTATCATCTGAATTCTACATTAGCTTACACTAGGAAATCTAGCAAATGTTGTGAACTCCTATATAGGATTACCTAGAGAATTTTGTCTTGTATTTTACTAGTAGCAAGTCATTAAAATGTATTTTTCAACAATACATTCTCTCTTCCGATCAATCAAGATACTCGTTTCTTTGATCACTGACTATTGGATGATGAGTCATGTAAGTAACTTGCTGTACAGGAAGTTCTGTTATGACTTCTTCTAATGCCTTATTGATAGAAGTATGAGAGGAATTTTTGTGCATATTAGTAATAGTCGAACTTCGATTTAGAGAGGCCGAATTAAATGCCGTTTTATAGAGAAAAAGAATCACAAGTGCTGCATTTTGCTAGTGGTCGATTCGAAAAAGCGCAATTTGTGCAAACAAGCGAAGAAGAAAAAACAAAATAAATAGGAAGAAAATTATTTTATTCACATATGAAGCAGTGGACTTAAAAATACCTTATATAAAAATTCTGTAAGTTCCGATACAAACCATTACGACTTTTATATGAATATTATCAGAGTCTTACCAGTTTCTCATATAAGATTCTTGTCAATATTCTACGCATTTCCATGAACTGCCTTATTATGAAATTCAAAAGATTACTCTAAGATTCTGGTAGATATTCTATAATATTCCTACAGGAATTCTATATAAGATTTGATCTCTAAGGAGATAATACTCGCTGTTGTTTGAATATTTCTATTGTAAAGCGATATGTGGTCGTGCTTTTGAAAATTAGTACCAGAATAAATCTAGAGCTACATCTCTGTACTAAAGTTGAGGAACTACATAAAGATCTGAATCTCGATTTTTCATTAGAAGCTAAGATTAGGAATTGGAACTCTCTTAAATTCAATGTCTTTTATTTTTTTAGAAATCGTAATGTAAGCAAGATAAAGTCCTTCGTTGTTGTCCCCGCAAAAAAGGTTGTATACGGTATATGCTACAGTTAGATCAGGTAACATGAGATCCATTAAGTACGACACCTCATTCTATTAGGTTAACGAGGGGATCATGGGCATATTGTTGTCTTATGAAAAATAAAGTTGATTTAGTGGCGACGGATACTACCAAAAGTTTAAGAGAAATTTTAAAATTATTATTATTTTCTCATGGAAATCTTTTTTTCGCTATATTGTTCGAAAATATTTGCTAAACTTCTGGCAATACATCTCGCCAAATGTAGAAAATCTTCTGGGTTACCGAGTGTGCTAAACACGAAAAAGTATTTTTTCGCAACTCTAAATAAACTTTATTTTTTTCTTCACGTTAATATGTAGGTCTTTTTACCATAGAACTTTTAGTTTTTGATGCATCATAAAGAAAACATTTGCCAAAAATACGAATTACGTGAAAAACACCCTTTGAAAACACGAATATTTGGATCATATCTCGGTTAAATTTAACTTCGAGTTCTTCTCAATACACGTATTAACTATAACATACATTGTAAGCAGAATATTTTTTAAAATATTAGAATAGTAAATCGATTACGTTAGATACTCCTTGATGAATGGAACAGAATAGTTAATAGAGCATTATAGCTGGTAGATGTCGCAGGTTCACTGACTAATCACTTCCGTAATTTTTTTAAAATTTAAATTAGCTCTAGACAAATAGAGAATAGTACATCTAGAAGGATTACTAATCTGTTTTCATATTTATCCTCATGAAGAATATCTGTTCTTTAAAGGCAAGCGTACAAGGTAGATATATGGCTGTATCAGCTGTCCGTTAAAGAAAAAATTTGAAATATATAAATTCAACTCACTAAACTTATTGTTATGCGTTTCATAACCGTGATAAAGAATTGAACGTTTTTTATGGGACCCAGAAAAAATAATAAAAATTCCTTTTTCAAATCCCATTTTTTACAATGTGTCTAATGAGTTATTTGTAATTAAAATGGAATGATCTCAAAGTGGCACGTTGCACTTCGCTGGAAAAATAGAATGGATAAATTGGTTCAAGAAGAATTTCTGACTTCTAGTATTTGTAAAACAGGCTTCATGTTATCTTGTAAAATTTGGATCTTAAATACAATTTGAAGCAAGAAAAAGAAAAACGGCCAAGAGAATAAGGTAACATGCTAATACGATGTTAAATAAATGCTCCTGGATCATGCTAGTTTGTTTCCTTAGGCGCTAGTAAAAATTTGATTCCTTTTTTTATTCAACTTGGCTGGTGAGACAAATAGGCACCTATTAATGTGTCTCTATATGATGACTGAGCGGCAGACCACCAAGGAAATATTCTCAGATGGTTCACTTCAATTCGAATAAACAGATTTTCAGGAATTGTTTTTCATACTGATCATGTATCTAATCTTCATTTGTGCCTATCTATACGGTTTATAAAAAAATATGTCTTTGAAGATCGGGTGTCTAGAGAGCCACCATATATTTTCCAACTGGCACATTTGAATAGAGTCTGATGGTAAAGCCCGTTGAAGTACCTATTAGAAGAATTAGTGAACATATACCAAAGCTGTTTCTAAGATTTATTTTTGTAACTCTTATAAATTTCTTTTATAGAAAATACTTTGAGAAGATAAGGGTTTTATTACAAGGAAGAATAAATTTGATTACTAGCAAACCTGTATGGTGTCTGACATTTTTAATGATTGGTAGTTCAAGCGAGAGAGCAAATGGGTTTGAAAAGTTGATTTCCATTCTGTGTTTAAAACGGATAATGTAAAAAAAAACGATGGTAAACTTTTGAAACATAATGTTTATTAAGATTGATGTAGACAAAAAGAAAATATAAGATTTTTATTAACTCTGATAGTCGATATACGATAAATTGAAGAGGTGGGAAGATAAACGAGTATTACAGATTGTCTGTCTCTTTGCAATCTCCAGTTCGACTAACGTCGAAGTTTTGAAAAATTTATATTAAGAACTCATATTTTTGTTTTATCTCTTGTGAGGAAAAACATGTTATTTTTTTGTTTCTAAATTTTAGATATGTCTGTTGGGCATCTTATTTGGGTCATATCTATATTATGTTTTCCATTCGTTGAATCTCTATTTCGTGATATAACCACATTGTCAAATAATCCTCTTAATTCTGATCTATGCTCTGATATTTACGTCGATAATGTCACATTCGGCATTATTCATAGTTTAAAATATTACGAAGGTCAACTTCATCCATCGAATATATCATGCTCGTGGACAATCATTAATAAACAACTTCAATCCGCCTCTTCGTATTTTATTCTTTCTCTTCGGTCAGTTGAATATGATGAACGTTTAACATCATCAACAAACTCGAAATATTTTCTTGAATTAAATTTATCATCTCCAACTAAATTATATCGTTTTGATGAGATAATCACTTCAAAAACACTCTATATACCATCATCACGACTCACAATCAATTATATTTCACGTTACAACAATCTACAACAGTACAATTCTCACATTCGAACAGATCCAAATGTAAAACGTTTTTTGATCGAATTTATATCTGTATCAAATTCAAGTTCGATAGATAATGATTATTTTAAATGCAGAAATTTGAAATATATCGCTAAAAATTGGCAGTGTAATTGCATTGATGAATGTGAAGATGGATCGGATGAAGAAAATTGTTCGCTCAAACAATGTAATGAACAACCACCAATTAGTCCAACCCAAACGTGTAGATATGATGAATATTGGTGTTTACCACAACAATCAAAATTCCGAACATTTTCTGATTATCCACTTATCGGAACAAAAGGCATATCATGGCCAAATTTTGAACAAGAATCAGAAGGCGAGAGTGCCAATGATTATTGGATTAAGAATGATAAAATTGATCTAGAAGGTATCTTGATTGTCGATTATTCGTGTATAAATAGGAAAAAGGCGGTTGAATGGAGAGAGAAATTGCACGTAGTTGCCGTAAGTCTACCTTGTCTAAACGCATCATTGTATTTGTTCTAGGTGTCTGTGTCCCTGATGTTTCTTTACCTTGTCCATCTCAGCTGTCGAGCGAGTGTGCATATTCAAAATCAATCTCCACTCGTTATCAATGTTCATATTCAACCGAATCTGGTTGTTTAACATTCGTCTACAGAAATAATCACGGCTCAATACATATTGATTCACTTACATTAGAAAATTTTCTTATGGATAAAAAATATAATTCTCTTTGTTACATAGTCGTGGCCCAATTACAGCATAAACTAAAATTACATTTGAATACTAGTGGTTTGTTCAACCCACTTGAAAATAAATTACTACCTATTTTTGAACTGAATGTTTATGATGGTAGTGAACAACAGCAAATTCTTCTCCACACGTATCTGTCGCATTATCAGTATTATCAAGAACGAAAAGTGATCGAAATTCAAACAAGAATTAGTCATATAGCTACTATTGTCATTAGGAGAAAAGATTACCAACAACAACAAGAATCTTTGAAAGGGTCAGTTCAAAAACAACAACTACCATTAACAGTGACAAGAGCATATCATGATGAAGATGTGGTGGGTTATATTGGTAGAACCAATAAATATAAACACACAGCGGTGACTGATCACAGTATAAACACAGCCACAGAAAATCGATATCAGCAGTCAATTGGTGGCAAAAATTCAATTTTAGTCGATATTATGTATGTACAACAATTATGTCCGGATGAAAAAATACCATGTGGACGTTATGAAACAAAATGTTATTCGAAATATGAGCGATGTGATGGTAAGACTTTTCCTTCCTCTAGTTTGTTTTCATGATTTCCAACTCAGTAACTTGACGTGGATCAGAAATTTAATGCAAAGAGATATGGATGAGTTATACCTTTTGTTTAGGGAAGTGGGATTGTATATCTGGTGATGATGAATTAGGCTGTTCGTCTGATCATTGTCCAACGACTTTTGCTTGTGGCGTTTATCAACAACCTCATGGATCACTCGAAATACAATCAGCTTTGGAGATCTTGAATGATAACGCGAACATGTTAGGAAATACAGTGAATAAAATTGTAGATATACCATTTTCATCCTCACAAACTCAACAAGCACAATTTCCCCCATCCCAGCGTTGTTATACATGGTCGGAACGTTGTAATGGCAATGCCTTTTGTCTTGATAAATCTGATGAAAAAATGTGTACAAAATGGTTTTGTAATTCAAAAAATGGCACATTTCTATGTCAAAATTTTAAATGCATATATGAATCGTGGCTATGCGACGGTAAAAAAGCCTAAACGTTATATTTGTAGATGATTGAATTAGCATGTTTGTTTTTTTCCGGTAGGTGCTGATGATTGTGGTGATAATTCAGATGAAAGCGATTGTGCAACACGTTTACCGAGGCGAATTGTAACAGCAGCCGTTGTTGGATCAACTGTTTGTTGTACATTGTTTATTATTGCACTTGGGTGCACATGTAAACTATATCATTTGAGAACAGCTGAAAGACGGGCTGCAACGCGGCTATTGAATCCTCAACGATACAGTGAACGACATCGACAACGACATCAACCTACAACATCAACAACAACTGGAACGGACACTGGAAATACAAACAATAGTACAGATGCACGTCGACTAGCACCGCCGGTATGTACTAATCTAAAAAGAACGTTTTTTGTTAGATATACTAATTTCTTATTACTTTTAAGTCTTATAATCAAACAATGGGTCTTGTCGATGACAATGAAGAACGTCAAATTGCATTAGCTGAACATTTGAGATTAGCCGGTTTAACAAATTTCATTTCGTTACCATCTATCACATCTACACATTCATCACGGACTTCACGCTCAACTTCTCGCTCGCGCCACAGACGTCATCGGCGACATCGTCATCGACGTCATTACTCATTAGGTGAATCATTGTCTCGCGTCGCTCTTCTAGAACCAAATAATGCTCCAGCCTTATCTAATAACACAAATGATAATATCATTCCAAATGTTTCATTTATTCAAACGTCTTTGACACCTTTTCAACGGTTACGTTCTCATTTGTCTCATGGGTTGTCATTATTAAGACCATCAGTAGCAATTTCTCCAACCTCCCAACAACAACAACAACAACAACTACAACAACAACAACAATCGTCAAGTCAATCAGCAGTAGCTGATTTTGATATTTATGAACGATTACCAAGTATCTGTTTTAATAATGAAGACTTACGACCTTTAACAGCAATCGTACCATCTCCACCATCGTCATTAGTAACAACAGAACGTCCAGATTATTTGACATCTGATTTTATTCAAGCACCACCTAATCGCGAACTACCTCCTCCTTACACTCTTCTAACCGTCGCTGAACAGCAACTATGTCAGAATTCGAATAGTAGACGAAGTAGTAACAGCAGTACTAGTACCTCAGCAACAACAAATCAAGAACAAGGACGACCAATTATATTATTTCGTAAAAGAAATTCGACGTTACAAAATCGTCTAAGACAACTTGTGAGAAATATTGGTGGTGGCGGTAGGCCACAACAACAAAATGAAAACACACTGTGTCAAATGCATCCACAACAGCCCAGTGCTACGACACAAACTGAGCTAGGTGAAATTGATTCTCATCATAGTGATGATGATAAATTGTTAACACCATAGAATATTTTTATATGTATTGTCTTTTTTATGCTAGATATATACTCCCCACCTGCGATGAAGAAATTAACGAAAATTTTTTGTTTATAATGCTGCTTGTTAATAGTACGCTTCTTCTTATTCTGTTCGAGTTGAGATTATTATTGCTCTGCTTTGCTCTTGACACAGATCTGAGCGTTCTTTTCTTTTCTTTTTATTCGTTTCTTTTTCGTTTCTAACAGACTTCACAGTGATTTGATTTTTCGTGTGTGTGCATATCTATTTCAATATTTGCTATACAGTGTATTCTCGTATTTTTATACTAAAAACGAAAATGTTTGTTTCTTCTTACTTTTCTCTACTATTATTATTATTATTATTATTATTATTACTTTATAATAACACAGATTAAATATTAATTTCAAAATTTGTTTTAAAAAGATAACAAAATGATGCTTCAAACATTTTAATGCTAAATTCATCATTCATTTATTTCAGCATGTAAATTACAGCAATGTCGAACAAATAAATTATTAGAAAAAGAAAAAATATGATACTAATTTTTTTAAAACTGTTACTGACTCGACTTATTCGTGATTGAGAATTGTACTCTTGCACAAGAGACACTCCTAGGCATGTTACATCAATAAAGCTTTTTGGTTAGTTTTTCCAATGTTTAGTCACCTTCGTTTTGATTAAAGAAAGACTGACCGATAAAAGTTAGTATGGTTTTTTCCAATAACGATTGTCTATAACATAGAATACTGTTGATTTCAATATGTAATTTCTATTAGCGCTGATTGGAAACCGTTTGGAAACATTCGACTGTGAATTATATTGATCAGGTGTAATAAATAACAATGATAAATTCCAGAAGACAACCATTAATCTGACAATGTTTTAAATAATTGCTGCTAAGTGATGAAGTACCTAGTGAATCAAGTATCTTTTGATCATCTAATTTCAGTTTTAAACATTGTACTGCTTATTTTGTTGCACAATCACAAAATGATAATAGCTTGTGGGCTTATCAAACCAACGAGTCGCACCATCTTGTAATTTCGTCAAAAATACAGAGTTGTACACATGGTTTGTTGTCTTTGTTGTTTTAGTATCCGTATCGTATATTGCACAACGATTTTATTATATTTGTCTTTTACATGTATACTTATTCTTTCAGTATTTTCTGGAAGTTATTAGTCTATCTTATATCTTTAGAGTTTATATTTTGAACGTTGAAATCTCCACAATGATTAATTCGTTTCTCTCAGTCTACTTTATCTGATAAATTCAATCACCATTTAACGCTAAATCGCTGAGCATTCGTAAGGATTGAAATGTCAAATCTTTTGTTGCTACACAAACCTGTTAAAACGATTGCTAGCTGCTCTATTGATATTTTGGAATTGTTTTTTGCATATCTGTATTACATAGTCATAAATTAAGTTTGACGTTTCATTGAAAATGTATTTCTGCGCTGATGGTGTGAATACATTATCTACACCTGATTTTGCTGCTTTATCTATTATTTATTTCCTAAACTTCCACTACAGACTTCGAAAAGGTAAGGACATTCCTGTAACTCAAGAACCATGATAGTCAGGGACTTTTAACTAGTTGACTGTTAGTAGTCAATGAAATACACGTATTTTACGGGTGAGAATCGCGTTTTTTTGTTGAAAATTTGAGGTCCTTTGCGAAAAAAATTCACAACTCAGTCTAGGGGCATCATTTTGACCTCAAATTGGTACCAAAGACTCTACAGTGTTTGTAGATTATCTATGAAGGTTAACTCTTGTGTGGTTCAGGAAATTC